GTTCCTGTAGCCCACAACTAACTTCACTACCATTACAGGTTCTTATCTTAGTTACTTTTAAATCTTTTCGTGGCCCTGTTAGTTTTCAATCCTGTCTTTAAAGATTTTTATAGCCCATCCCCTGTCGTTGTTCATTCTCAAGCCAATTACCTTTAAGGCTTTTCGTAGCCCATCCCCTATCGTTGATGGTCCTCTAACCAATTACCTTTAAGGCTTTTCGTAGCCCATCCCCTATCGTTGATGGTCCTCTAACCAATTACCTTTAAGGCTTTTCGTAGCCCATCCCCTATCGTTGATGGTCCTCTAACCAATTACCTTTAAGGCTTTTCGTAGCCCATCCCCTATCGTTGATGGTCCTCTAACCAATTACCTTTAAGGCTTTTCGTAGCCCATCCCCTATCGTTGATGGTCCTCTGCTTCTTTAGGAATTTTCTCAATGATATCGCCTTCATTTTCCACGGTCTTCTTCGTTAATTCCAGTTCTATCTTTGCGTTAAATCCAAAACTCACAACTCCAATAAACGTGCCATCTTCCAATTTCCGAATAAACCTTGTAGCACTTTCTCGTAGTTTAATCATCGGGTTACTCTAAACATAAAAAATATTATAATTTAAGGACGACTTGAAGAAATAACGGTTTAAAGGATGTAAAAAACTTAACATTGTCGCGAGATGAAAAATAATTTAATTTGTTAACATATTTGGTGAACTGTGTGATGACTTAAACTGTTTATAGGCTAGACAAATTTGGTGAACTGTGTGATGACTTAAACTGTTTATTTGTTAACATATTTGGTGAACTGTGTGATGACTTAAACTGTTTATAGGCTAGACAAATTTGGTGAACTGTGTGATGACTTAAACTGTTTATTTGTTAACATATTTGGTGAACTGTGTGATGACTTAAACTGTTTATAGGCTAGACAAAGTTAGTGAACTGTGTGATGACTTAAACTGTTTATTTGTTAACATATTTGGTGAACTGTGTGATGACTTAAACTGTTTATAGGCTAGACAAAGTTGGTGAACTGTGTGATGACTTAAACTGTTTATAGGTTAGACAAAGTTGGTGAACTGTGTGATGACTTAAACTGTTTATAGGCTAGACAAAGCTACCAAAAACTATTGTTTCCATAATCTGACGTTGTTTAACTTCAATGTGTAGCCATAGAGATTGACCTGGACTTTACTCTTAGTCAACATGTAACAAATTTCTTGTCAAAGCAATCTAACTACAACTGTTCTTAGTTGTTAACAACATCTTCGTCTGTTATCCCAATAACAGCTCGTGAAATTCGGCCAGCCTACTAATAGATTTAGGGGAGTCATAAGTTCATTTACTGGGCCAACAACGCAAAATTATCCTTATATCAAGAATTATATAATAAGAATGAAAAAAAGGAATCACACACACATATATATATATAATAATTTGAATAATGTTGTTAATGAAAGCAACATTAAAAAAAGATAATCACTTACGAAACACTGAAAAATTACTGACAACCATAAAGAAGAATTAGACTCGTCCTTACGTGCATACTTCCGGAAGTGTCTAGAATAAGTACACATCGTGGAGATTTGTCTGCTTGGACAATACGAAATTTGGGGGTTTCAAAATATTTTAATCTGAAAAAAATGTTCTTGTTAATTGAAGAGAAAACTATAGATAAAATAAGATTGTTCTACACTCGTAGATTTAGTAAAGAAAGACGTATGACACTACAAACTAATATTTATGTATATGTTTCCAGTTCTATAACTAGAGGGCGCTGTCTACTATTTACCTAGTAAGGTTGGGCTGTGGCTCACGAAAACCAATTTCTTTGCCTTCACTGCATTGTCTGTTGTAATTGTGTTTCATCTGAAAACAGTAAAATAAGTAAAAATATGTTTCTGCAATAAGTGCCAAACTGTAAATAAAACAAAATATGAAGATTTTTGGTTGAAACTGTGAAAAATCGTATTTTCAAAATATTTGTAGATCCGTCATTAACAAAATCATAAGTGGAATAAGTAATACGTGTAAATATGGTTCTTGTACATTACTGGTTGTAAGAAAAGAACGAGTGACACGCATAAATATGGTTCTAGCACAGTACTGGTTGTTAGAAAAGAACGAGTAATACGTGTAAATATGGTTCTTGTACCTTACTGGTTGTTAGAAAAGAACGAGTAATACGTGTAAATATGGTTCTTGTA